ACACCCGCTCCTGCAGTCTACCAACCCCCAGTACACCGTACCCCAGCCGCACCACCAGCTAACAATTATATGCAACCAGCCCGATTTAATGCCCGGGAGTACTCCCAACCCTGGTGCTATGGGTTCAAGCAGTTGGGGCACAAGCGTCCTGAGTGCCCACTGAACAGTGCCAACCAGGCTCAGTCCTGGAGGAGACCAGTTAATGGAAACCAGCGCCCACCTCAGCCTGCTGCTCACTGCCTAGAGCAGGAGGAATTTTGGGGCATTCTACACGAGGCAGACCCAGTGCAAGTAGCTCATCAGGATAATCGCCAGCAACATCGGCAAACTGTGAAGCTGAATGGCAGAGTGGTGAATGGGCTGAGAGACACAGGAGCTACGATGACACTGCTCCAAAAGAACTTGGTCTCAGAGCATCAGCACACTGGGGACACTGTGGCAGTAAGGGTAGCAGGGGGTGCCGTGTTTCGCTTACCTGTTGCCCGAGTACATTTGGATTGGGGAGTGGGCGCTAGGCATGTGGATGTGGGGGTGATGAAGGACTTGCCCGCCGATGTTCTTTTGGGAAACGATTTGGCCCCTTTGGTTTCAGCCTATGCTCCGATGGGCCCTGCAGACGTGAACCCAGTGACCACCCGTGCCCAGACCCGTGCTGCCGGAACCAGCCCACTTGCTGACGAGACCCAGGTAAGATCTCCTTCCCCGACTGGTACCCCAGATCAGGTTCCCTTAAGCTGGGATTCCCCAGAGGAGTTTGGGAGGGAAACCCGGGCAGATCCGACCCTCCAAAGATACAAGGACAGGGCAGATGCTGGGGAGGAAGGAATAGATGGGGAACGGTATGAGTGGGTGGGGGACAGGTTGTATAGGATCCCTAAACCTTCCCAGAAGAGTGTTGCCACTCCGCCGAATCGCCAGTTAGTGGTACCTGCAAAGTACCGGCAGGAGATTCTGCGGATAGGGCATGATGTCCCTTTAGCTGGACATCTAGGGTCTCGCCGCACAGCCTATAGGATTTCACAGAACTTCTTTTGGCCAAACTTTAACCAGGCTGTGCGGATGTACTGCAGCACGTGTGACACATGTCAACGGGTAGGAAAGCGGGGGGACCACCCTAAGGCTAGGCTATTATCGATGCCTATTATAGGGAGCCCTTTGCCCGCATAGCCGTTGACATTGTGGGTCCACTGGCCAGGGCTAGTCCATCCGGTAAGAAGTATGTTCTTACCGTGGTGGACTATGCCACCCGCTATCCAGAGGCAGTAGCGCTGTCTAACATAGAGGCAGAGACGGTTGCTGATGCCCTGGTTAGAATTTTTACTAGGGTCGGGTTCCCTAAGGAGATCCTCTCCGACCAGGGAACCCAATTCACCGCTGTGCTCACCCAGCAACTGTGGAAGGTGTGCGGCATTAAGCCATTACTTAGCTCACCCTACCACCCACAGACTAACGGTCTCTGCGAGCGCTTTAACGGTACCCTCAAACAGATGCTGAGGACCTTTACAGACACTTGCAGAGACTGGGAGAGATTCCTGCCTCATCTATTATTTTCTTATAGAGAGGTGCCCCAGGAATCTACTGGGTTCTCCCCCTTTGAGCTGCTGTATGGGAGAAGGGTCCGCGGACCCCTAGATCTCATTAGAGGCCACTGGGAGGGGGAGACGGAGCAGGCAGGGATCCCCATAGTACCATATGTTTTGGAACTCTGGGACCGCATGGAGAAACTGTCCCTGATGGTAAGGGAGAATCTCCAGGCGGCCCGGGGAGACAGAAGAGATGGTACGATCAGGGTGCCCGACAGCGGGTCTTCCAGGTTGGGCAAAAAGTATTGGTGCTTAAACCTGTGAAGGCCAACAAGATGCAGGCATCTTGGCAGGGCCCGTACAAGGTAGTGGCGCAGATCTGCGACACTACTTACTTGATAGCCAGCTGTGCAGATGAGAGGATCCAGCGGTCCTTTCATGTGAACATGCTGAAAGAGTACCAGGAGAGACCTGAGAATATTGCAGCAGTATGTGCCCCAGCTGCAGATGATTCTGAGAACTTACCCCTTCCAGATCTATTAGAAAGGGATTCCCAGACTGACCTTACTACCCTTGTACAGCTAGGGGACCGGTTGAACCCCACAGAAAGGGTACAGGCGCAGCAGTTGTTATGGGAGAAGCAGGCGACGTTCTCCCAGGAACCAGGTTATACCACCCTAGCTGTGCATAAGGTAGAGACCCCTGGACAGACCCCGTTACGACAGCCCCCCTACCGTATCCCTGAAGCAGTCCGTGAAGGAATGCGGAAGGAGATACAGGAGATGACCCAACTTGGGGTTATCGAGCACTCCGACAGCCCTTGGGCCTCGCCTGTAGTCCTGGTGCCAAAGAAAGATGGGACCACCCGGTTCTGTGTGGACTACAGGCGACTCAACGAGCGGACCACCACTGACGCCTACCCAATGCCCCGGGTAGACGAATTACTAGATCGTATTGCCAGGGGGCGATATCTGACCACCATAGACCTGTGTAAGGGCTACTGGCAGATCCCCTGGCCGAGGATGCTATCCCCAAGTCGGCATTTGTCACCCCATTTGGCCTGTACCAATTTAAGGTCATGCCTTTTGGGATGAAAAATGCACCGGCTACCTTCCAACGGATGGTGGATAGACTCCTGGATGGCTTCCAAGAATTTGCCTGTGCATACTTGGACGACATTGCGATCTACAGTGGGTCCTGGGAGGAACACCTGGTACATGTAGGGGTAGTGCTGGATAAGATTAGGGCCGCTGGCCTGACATTGAAGCCAGAAAAGTGTCATCGAGGTATGGCTGAAGTACAGTACCTGGGTCACAGAGTGGGGTGTGGGAGCCAGAGACCGGAGCCAGCCAAGGTAGAGGCAGTGGCTAACTGGCCCACACCTACTACTAAGACCCAGGTATTGGCCTTCTTGGGGACGGCAGGGTACTACAGACGTTTTGTCCCTGACTACAGCGCTATCGCTAAGCCCCTGACAGATCTGACCAAGAAAAACTTGCCTAAGCAGGTCCTGTGGTCTCCGGCTTGTGAAGCTGCGTTCCAGGCACTGAAGCAGGCTCTTGTGAATGCCCCTGTCTTGGCTGCCCCAGTCCCTAACAAACGCTTTCTCGTCCATACAGATGCTTCCATGTATGGACTGGGGGCTGTGCTGAGCCAAGTCGGGGAAGATGGAGGAGAGCACCCTGTCGCATATCTCAGCAGAAAGTTGTTACCCAGAGAAGTGAGTTATGCGGCAGTGGAGAAGGAGTGTTTGGCTTTGGTCTGGGCATTGAAAAAGTTAAGTCCCTACTTGTATGGGCAAGAGTTTTCCCTTGTGACTGATCACAACCCACTCGTTTGGCTTAACCGGGTCTCAGGAGACAATGGGAGACTGCTGAGATGGAGCTTGGCACTACAGCCCTACAATTTTACTATCAGCTACAGACCCGGTAAGCTAAACGGAAATGCAGATGGGTTGTCACGACAAACAGACGTTTCCATCACCTCTTAGTCCGGTCATCCCCAAGTTGACCCGCCACAGGGTCAAGCCGGGTCTGCTGGAGTGTCCCACAAGGAGGGAGCCGTGTGACAGAACCATCTGTCTGCTGGATTTTTGCCCGTTCGTCTGTTTGTCCCCGTTCGTATGAATGGCTGGTTTCTATAGCCCAGCCATTCGAATGACTCTTTTTCCCGAACAAAACCGCCGAACGAACGGCCACCCAAGTGAGGAGTGTGCTGCAGGTTAACGAAGTGATCACCATTATAACGTTGTGGTTAACCGCAGACACTTCTCAATTAAACCGAACTCAGGGTGGTCGTCGTTCGTATGTCGACCACGAGGCAGCGGCCATTTTAAATCATGCGAACGCCCAGCGGTGTTTGGCTCTATTTCTATGGAACTGAAAACGGACACTTTTTCTGCCGAACACCGCTGAAACAAGGGAACGCCTGGCTGCCTCCACGAAAGCATGCGAACACCGGCCGTTCGGGAGATTGAGAGCATACGAAAAGACTTAACCCAGATAGCCCTCCCATGGAGTCATTCGTATACCGAAAGACTGTAAGAACTTTGACTCCATGGCGATTGAACTATGTGTGTGGGATCTGAGCGCTATTCGCTAATAATATGCACTCAGATCCAGGCTATCTGGGGACATGTAATACGAATGGGAAATGTTCAGTTTTCATGTAGTTATGCATTTTTATGTCTTTTATTATTTTATGTTTAAAATGGCGACTGTCCTTGTCCTGGAGTTAATTGAGTTACTTGGTAATTAACTCCAGGACAGAGGGGAGGGAATCAGAATGCACTGTGGGTAAGAGATGTGACTGTGTGTCAGAAATGTCCTTCTATCTGTCTGTAATTTAAGTCTTCCATTTGGTCCCCTAGGGGAGTGTCCACCAGGTGGGAGACCTGCATAAATACGGGCAGGTAGCCCACAGTAAAACCAGATCTTATTTGACCCTCAATGCGGAGCTTCTGTCTCGTTATTGGGGGGATTTCTTCTTCACGGTTAGAGACTGCTGGATGGAACGAAAGCCGCTTTGGGGATATTATTGTTCGACGGTTCCTAGCAGTTCGTATATTGCCGTTCGGGAGTTTGGAGCCGTTCGTGGATTTCGATCGGGAGATTGTCGCTTCCCCTGCATTTGGTTCGTGGGTTACAGAGTAAGCGAACGGAGACTGTACTGCAGCCGGGGAAGGTTTACTAAACGGCGGTTTGGCTTAAAGACACGGGAGGTGTCTTAACACCCATAGAGACTGGATGTCTTGAAAGACATTGGAATCCGACTGTCAATCGCTCTAATCTTTGAGGTGTCCGGAATACCAGTCCTCCATGATGTTGGAGAGGCCAGGGATGTATTCCGCCATAACTGATATGCCTTGAGCCAGGCAAAATTGCCAAAAGTCCTATGTCATGTTCGCTAGAACTTTCGATTTTGTGCCTCCCAGGTGGTTGATGTACCGGACAGCTGATATGTTGTCCATCTTCATGAGGATAGCGCATTGATATATAGTCGGTGAAAAACTGCAGATTGCAAATGAGCTGGACAGAAGTTCCAAACAATTGATGTGGAGGTTGTAACGGATCACCTGGCACCCTGACTGGGTACCTCCATTGAAGGATGCTCCTAGCTCTTCCTGAGGACCCCAAGCACTGCAGCAGACACCACAACCACCGAACCGAAGAAGCATACGAATGTTCTCAAGCATATGAATGCTGTAAGAAGCTGAACAAGAAAAGCATTCAATCAGCTTACACTCCTGGCAATCAGCATACAATCCAATTCCCCCAATAACGAGACCACACTTTGTTTTGAGGTCAAGCAGAACTGACTGTACTGGCACATACAGCCTCTTTTATTCACAATCCACAAACATAGTCCAGCCCACAGGGTTTTGAAATACAACCAATCAATCCGTACAATACACACAGACACTCCCACACAAAATTCTCCTCTCTGCCTGTGATATGATTATTGAACACAATGGTTAATATAATTATCACAGGCAAAGAAATACAGTATTATAAAACATATCACAGGGACCCCAAAACATGCAATAACCCCATAAAAAGTATATACTCGGAACCGGAACCGGAGGATCTGGGTGAACCACATATACAAAATTCACCCAGATCCGTTCAGTAGTTTGGAAGATACAGTTTAATGCAGATTCCACAGAACATATACAAGCTATATGAAAAATAATTACTGTTAAATTTGTCCCCTGTTCTATAGTTTAAATCTACTGCACGATGTCTTTGTGCACCAAATACCGGCGAGATGGCACCGTGTAGAAAAGTCCAAACAGTGTCTGTGAGTTAAAATGGCCGCCATCCATTGTTCTCACCATGTGCTTCATCCATTGTTCTCACCATGTGCCTCTAATACATGAAATGGTGGCCACCCAGTAACTCCACATTATGTCCCCAGATGGTTCTTAAAGGGCCAGCAGCAGCATAATAAAAGCAAGTATGCACACATCAGTTCCTAGAAGGGCAATACATCCCAGGGCCATAGTCGCAGGGCAGGAGGCTGGCAAACAGTGGCGAGGTTACTTTCGCCACAGAGGTTTGATTCCAAATCTAACCATCTGCCACTAGTAGAAATATCTCCGCAGCAAGCACCCCAACCGTGTAAGCTCACGTCGGATTTTATTATCAAATCTGGAGTTGTGCCAAATATGGCGAAACCATTCCAAGCTTCCATGTGGAGGAGCCACCATTGTAGTTCGTCCCTTGCTTCTGAGTCTAGATTGATCATATCCGTGTATGATGCACCGCCTTTCATGTGAGAAGCTTGTAAGCTTTGGAGAGCTCGATAATGTAGAGGACCCAGAAAGATGTCCTGTATAGAAGCTGCTAGGAGGTCTACCATCCTCGCTAGTTGTTTGAACGTGAGTTGGGGGCAGCAAGTGCGCACATGATGAGACTTATTCCATGACTTCTTAGCAGGGCGACCAGCGGCTTCATGAGCTTGCTAAAGCACCATGGGGCTGAGGACAGTCTGAATGGGAGGCAATTGAATCTCCACTTCTGACCTTGCCAAGTGAACTGTAGGAAATTCTGGTTGTGGTGTGCAATGGAGATATGCGTCTTGCAGATCTAATTTGGCCATCCAACCCGACGGTTGGTAAGACACATAAGTGTTGAGTTGTTTTAGATTGATCACTGGGCGGACACCTCCGACCTTTTTTGGGTACTAAGAACAGGTTGCTCACCCCGGTGTAAAGTCCGAAATCTCTATGATGGCTTGTTTGCACATCAGTTCTGTTATCTCCGTGGAGACAAGCTCTGTGTCCCGTTTGGAAAAAACAATCTCCCTTGAAGGGGAGTATTGTATCAGTGGGCATAGGAAATCTATGCAATACCCTTTTACAGTTTGCATAACCCAAGTGTCTGAAGAAATAAGAGACCATAAGTTTGTTGTCCTAAAGGAGCACCTCATGTGCCATGAGCAACCCAGAGTCAACCAAGTTGAAGGAAGAATATTGGCCATTTCACTGCTCAAAGAAGTTGGCTTGCCCAGTGTAGGAGCCCCTGTTCTGTCTGAAAAAACTTCTATTAACCTGGCCGGACCGACGGCTCTTGGCTCTTCCGGCACCACCAAAAAAATGGGGGTCGAATACTTTGTGCATGTTTAGCTGCGCTTGATCACGGGCGGTAAATGTATGTACAATAATGTAAATAATGTAAATGTATGTACAAACGAGCCTAATTCTTTACAAACTTATCTCCAAAGAGGAGACCTTTAGCCTGTGCACCAAGCTCGTTCAGAGCAATGTTAACCAGTTTAGGCTCAATTTTGAACAGAATAAATTTGCAACGCTCCGTGGCCATCGCAGTGTTGACATTGCCAACTAAGCATATAATCCATAGGGTGGCACGTTCTAATTCACGGTCATCTTTGATCATATCAGATATCTTGGCCGCAGGGCCCAAGATATCCAGGCAGTTACGAAGTGAAAAGTCTAAGCCTTTATTAGGCTTCCAACTGAGGCTGAGCAGGTGCTGCCAAAGGCATCGCCTGTCGATTATTATTCGGTGGAGCCGATCTCTCTGCCTGCAGCAGGGCCTGAGCAAAATACTACAAAAGGGAGTCAGACATAACTCCCATCACAGAGACCAGGGCTTTGGTCATAGCCTGAGACATAGTTGCATCAATTAAGGTCTGCATGTCAGCAGGAGCTGTAAAGCCAGTGGAAAGATCCGCTTCATCTCCAGACATACCTGGAGAGTTCTGGAAGTCAATCTGAGCCGGTGTTATAGACCCAGAGGGAGTTGCTAGATCCCTGTCAGTTTGCATTGTTTTATAGCAATGAAAGAATAAGTATTTAACATAAACAAAAAACAGGGTTGAGTAAACCACAAAGCATACAGGTTAAAGTTAATAAAAGTTTTACTCAGAGAAATAAATCACAGAGAAGACAAGAGCCGTCCGACCACCACTAAAGCTAAACCTCAACTCCAAAATCAGACAGAGCTAGGGAAAAAACGCCAAAAAAACCCAATAAAATGGCTGCTGCGAATGCGAACATCGCCGCGAACGGCAGATAAACATGAACTAGAGTACTGAATTGAATGTGGTTGGAAAACAAAAACTACCGAACGGCGCGTTCGCGGCAAAAATCCTAAACACTGTGCAGATTGAAAGTCGCATTCACAGGAAAAAACTCCCGAATCCCAGAGAGATATATCTGGTCAAGGAGGTCCAGGGGGGAGAACAAAAGTAGATAAACAAGGATACATGTATGACAGTTATACACACATATTCCAAATAAAACATTAAAGTAGAATAATTAAATAAACTGAAAATGAATAATCAATGAATAACAGACATTAAATATGGAATTATGTTCCAAAACCACACAATACCGTGTTTCTCCGAAAATAAGACCGGGTCTTATATTAATTTTAGTCACAAAAAACACACTAGGGCTTATTTTCAGGGTAGGGCTTATTTATTTACGGTACCGGTATGTACATTGAACAACATTTAAACAACATTTAAACAACTTTTCTTCAAATACCGGTACAGTCATCTTCATTTTCCTTTGAACCATTGGTCCTAATCTCTCATTTACAGCAATATATGGTACAGTAGCTCTCCCTACCGTAAACAACATTTATTCAATTACAATCATGTCATCTTCTTCTGGAATATCATCATAACTCTCCAAACCCTGATTGCCAGCCTGAATTTCTTGCATCTCCATTTCCTTTTGAACCATTGGGCCTAATCTCTCATGTAAAGCAATATAGCTCTCCTTAAACGAGTACTTCTTGTCCATGTAGCCTGCTCGTAGTGCTTTGGCAACACAGCTGTCAGTGATTTTATCCCAAGAATTCTTCACCCATGTCACGACCTCTAGCAGTTTAGGCTTCACAAAGTTTCCACGCTGATTTCTGACCAATCTATTTTCAGTGTATTCATTGATTTCTGTGCGCAAATGGTCCTTGAATGGTTTGTTTATTGCAATATCAAGAGTTTGGAGATAAGCAGTCATTCCTGCGGGAATCATTACTTGATCTATTCTTCTCTCTGCAAGGAAGTTCTTCATGTCTTTTGCGCGGTGAGTGCTGGCTGAATCCCAGACTAGCAGACCTCTTTGGCCACCTCTCAGAACAAGTGGCAGCATTAAATCGATCCACATTCTTATAACTGCTTGTGTGCACCAGGCCTTTTCTGTTTCAAGAACATAAATGCCTGAAATGCGTTCAATCTTATCTTTCTTGCCCTTTGCGATAATTAGAGGTGTGGCTTTTGTTCCATCCAGACGAATTGCCAAAACACAAGTAACACGTGCACTTTCATAACCAGTGGAGGGAACGTAGATTGAGGAGGCTCCCCTCTGATCAATTGTCGTTTGAGATCCTTGGCCCATATACACTGCAGTTTCATCCATCGCAATCATGTTGGAGAGTTGGTATTTAGAAAAGTCTATGCCATCAATAAAGAACTTGAATGCAAGTGCACGTTTAACAACTTCATTATCTTCCAGCTTGAACAGTGTTGTCGATCTTCTTAGAGACAGTTCATATCGCTTAAGGAAGCCATCCAGCCAGTGGTGTGATGCTTTGAAATCTTCTGTGGATATGTCGAATTGTGGTGCTATTTCAAGGGCAAATGTTTGAATATCAGCCCTGCGCACAACCAAAGCTTTTGCTCTCTTGTCAGCAATCCATTCACAGATGACATCTTCCAGCTCAAGATATAATGGCTGGCGACCTGATCCACACTTGCGCTTCTTAGCATTTCCCTCGTCCACCTTTTGACTGAGGTTACCATACTCTGCTCGCCATTTTCGGACCATTCGGAGATCTAACTTCATCTCTTTGCAGAAAGTGGTCAGATTCTTGCCGTGGGAGTCCTCCACGATTCCTTTCTTGTACTCGACAGAATAGCTCTTTCTCTTTGCACTCATCTTGTCTGGGGATCAAAATACCGTACTGTCTAATTAATCCACCCCCCTCTAATTAATCCAGCCCACCCTTTAATTTATTCACCCCCCTCTAATTAATCCAGCCCACCCTTTAATTAATTCACCCCCCCTTTAATTAATTCACCCCACTCTAATTAATCCAGCCCACCCTTTAATTAATTCACCCCTCTAATTAATCCAGTCCACCCTTTAATTAATTCACCCCCCTTTAATTAATTCACCCCCTCTAATTAATCCAGTCCACCCTTTAAACGGAAAATGAAGAAACTACTCTAATTAATCCAGCCCACCCTTTAATTCACCCCCTCTAATTAATCCAGTCCACCCTTTAATTAATTCACCACCCCTTTAATTAATTCACCCCCTCTAATTAATCCAGTCCACCCTTTAA